CTGGAGGCAAGTTGTTTAGGAAGTGGAAGCCACTCCTGCTTTCAAAAGCAGCACAGAGAAGACAGAAAAGATAAATGGATGAGCAAAAGCCTAAGTGGGGAAGTGAAGTTCAAATTCTGAATTAGAAAAGAAAGTAATATCCAGGTAGGCCAAGACCTTTCTGAAAACAGTTTGAGATACTTTCGGCTGTTTGTGCCAAGTGTCAGTAATGAGCTGTTGTAAAAAGAACAGAGGTACTAGTTACCTTCACGAGGTACAAGTTGCTCCTGGGTCTTCTGAAATAGCACTGTCCGAAAGACATTTATGCAGTGCTGTGAGTTTTCTCTACCTGCTCTGTCCAATATGGAAGTCATGAGTCACTCATTTTGGAGCAGAGGTGGTTCAGTAGTAGAATCCCTGCCTTTTATGCAGGAAGTCTGAGTTGGATTCTGACCAATGACCTTCATGTCGAGCTACTGTTTACCTCTTAGTGAGGACTTGTGTGTCGTTATGAAGCTCAGCAGGTTTCAACATAGCATCTGGACTGAGCTGGCTGAGGGAGAAAGGCCTGGCAATCCACCTCCCCAAAACTGGACAAGAACAACAATGACTGAATGGAAATCCAAAGTCTCTGTAAACTTTCATTAAAATAAATTTTAATAAAACAAAGAAACAAACAAACAAACCTGGACAAAAAAACCCCCTATGGATCATGATCCTATCTAAAACCAAACATGGGATGTTAAAGGGTTGGGTAGTGTTTAATCCTCTCATGCAAGGGGTCCCCAGGAGTTGTGGAGTTGCAGAGCAGATAAGACAGGTCTTTTCTCCTAGAGTGACTGGGTGGTTGAAACTGCTGTCCTTTTAGTTACAAAATAACCACAGCTGTACCAAGCTTTTGCCAGTTAAATTCCAGGATACCAGGAAAAGCCTGAATTTCAGATAAACTCTGTCCAGCACACTAATAAATCATTTGCTGTTGATCTGGCATGCTAATTTTACTGGGTGTCGGTATTTCTCACGTCCAAATCTAGCGACACTCACCACATCCGCTGTCGAGCACTTGAACAACGCATCTACTGTGACTAAGTAGCTGTCATTTTAATGTCATGTTTCCTTTTAAAAGCCACACGTGGTCAGTGGCTACTGCATTGTCTAGTGCTGCTGTAGGAAACAGGGAAGGCAGAAGTTCTCCTGCCAGTGTGAGATTTCACTGGAAATGCTTTTGGGACTCGATTCTTTAGTTTGGATTTGGAACATCAAGAAGCCCTGTGTCAGTGACTGGTAAGGGTGAGGGAACTGTCTTGCTGGGATGACTTCAATGCATTCTTTGAGATCCTTGTTAGGTGCCGTCGAGTCGAGTATAACTCATTGCAACCCTGTGAACGAAAGATCTGAACCTTGCTCTATCCTGTGCCATCCTCACACTTCCTGACCCACCCACAAAAGCCCAATGTAGCAGTCACTGCATCAATCCACCTACTTGAGATCCTAGCAATCAAAATAATTACAAGTTATCTGATGAGCAATTACTGTATACTGTGACAGATGCTTTAAACATTCTATGTCACTGAATCCTCCCAAGTCTGGAAGTAGAAATGATTATGTCCATTCTCCTAGGTTGAATAGATTCCTCAAAGTTCATGTCATTCTCAGAACCTCTGAATGTGAACTTGTTTGGAAATATTATATTGGAAAGGAAGCACTGGTGGCCTAGTGGTAAGAAGCTGTGTCCTGGAATCCCAAAGGCACATGGTTTGAGGCCACTAGATGCTCCACTGGAGAAGGATGAACAATCTTCTCCTGTGCAATTAACTGCTTTTGAAAACCTTCAGGAGGGTCCTTCTATGGGTCAGTTCCAACTTTACAGTCCACAACAACAACCACATACTGGAAAGGCAGAGGGATGGCGAAGAAAAGGAAGATTCTCAACCAGGTGGATGGACACAATGTCTGCAACAATGTATTCAAGTGTGTTAGAGATTGTGAGGATGGCACAGGATTGGACAGGGTTCAGATCTCTTGTTCATAGGGTTGCAGTGAGTCATGCTGAACAGTATCTAACAACATCATCATCATACTGGAGGAGGGTGGGCCCTTATCCAATATGACTGTTGTTATGTGCTGTCAAGTCACCTGGGACTCAGAGTGACCCTATGTACAACATCCCTAAGCCCTGCTCTATCCTGTGCCAAGGTTATTGTCTCGGACACTCCTACCCCCATTAGTCCAGTCACTTTATCAATCCATCTCATCAAGGGTCTTCCTCTCCTGTGCTCTCCTTCCAACCTTCCAAGTATGACGTCTCTCTCCAAGGACTGGTCCCTCCTTGCAACATGTCCAAAGTATGTCAGATGAAGCTTCAGAATCCTTGCCTCCAAGGAGCACCCTGGTTTCACCCTCTCCAAGAAGAATCTGCTTGTTCTCTTAGCAGTCCATGGAATATTCAACACTCTTCTCCAACACCACAGCTCAAAGGCATCAACTCTTCTATCATCCCTAGTCCAGCTCCCTGATGCATAGCAAGTGATGGCCTTTATCAGGTTCACCTTTGTCTCCAGACTAACATTGTTGCTCTTCAGTACTTTGGAGAGGTCTCTGACAGCTGACTTTCCCAACGTAATACATCTTTTAATTTCCTGGCTGCTGGTGGCAAGAGAGTTGATTGTGGAGCCAAGCAAACTAATGCTGTTAACAATCTCTTCACCATCTATCACGATGCTGCCAATCAGCCCAGTGGTGAAAAAATCTTCGTTTTCTTGAATATTGAGCTTCAATCCATATTGAAGGCTGCAGTCCTTGACCTTCTGAAGCAAGTGCTTCAGGTCTTTCTCAGGTTCAGCAAGCAGGGTCATGTCAAGGAAAGAGGAAACACAGATGTGGACTCAGAAGGAAGATGGCAATGTGAACACAGAGGCAGAGATGGGAATTGAACTGTCAAAAGCCATAAAACACCTGAGGCTATGAAAGGTGAAAGGGGCAAGGATATATCTTTCTTTAAAGTGTAGAAACAACCCTGTCTCTTGAGGCTTTGAATTCAGACGAATTCACACTTCTCAAGTTCTTGCCTCCAGAACTAAGAGACAATCAATCCATTTCTGTTGTTCTAAGCCACCCAGTCCCTGGTGGTTACAACAGCCCCAGGAAATGAACACATTCCTTTACAGTGAAGAAAACAAATCTCAGAGAGTCAAACTGACTTACCGATGGTTACAATGGGTATGAATGGACTTAAATTCATGTTACCTAACTTACCAAGTCAGCCTCTCAGTCAACTACTTGTGGTTATAAATGATGAAACCTAATGGGAATACGTTTTTGAAGTTTCTAAACACTCTGAAAGCCAAATGTAGGGGTTATTTATGGGTAGAATTGTGTCTCCTAAAAAGACAGGTTGGAGTCCTAGCTCCTGTACCAGTTAGAGTGACTTTGGTCAAGGAAACAGGACTTTTCTTTGCAGATGTTACCAGTTAAAAAAAGGAAATCATACAGAAGTGAGGAGAGTCTTAATCCTAATTACTTTTAGGCAGTGACTAATTAGATAAGGACAGAAACAAGAGTTATACACTTGGGAAAAATCTGAGAGGATCCCTCTCTTATCCCACCTGAACAGGTACAGGCTGGGACTGGGTAAAGGTGAAAAGTGTCTACATCACTCAGAATTTATGACGTGCTTTCATACTCACGTGTTCCAAATGTGCTGGGCCAGAATGTCTTCTTTCATCTCAGAATGGTGAAACCAACTTGCTCTATGGATGCACACCTGGGAATCCAATGCTTCCAAAGAAAGCACCTTTGACAATCTAAAGTGGAATGCCAACATTCATGAAACTAAAGTCTAAGTGTAATTTTCAAGGACTTCTTTTAAAAGCTAAACAAACAAGGACATCAGCTTAAAAGACTAACGTGTGCCTGATTCAAGCCATGGTATTTTTTAATTGTTTCATATGCTTGTAAAAATTGGACGAAGACTAGGGAAGATAGAAAAACTGATGTCTTTGAATTGTGGTGTTGGCTACAGGCACTGGATACACAAACTATGGACTGTCAAAAGAACAAACAAGTTTGTGTTGGAAGAAGTCCAGCCAGAATTCTCCTTAGAGGTAAGGATGCTAAGAATTAGTCTCACATACTTCAGCCGTGTTATGAGGAGGTGCCAGGCCCTGGAACAGGACATCATGTTTGGAAAAGTAGAGGCTCTGAGGAAAGGAAGACCCTCCAGGAAATTGGTTGATAGAGTTGCAACAATGGGCTTGCACACAGTGGAGATTGTGAGGGTGGTACACAAATTGGGCAAGGTTTCGGATTGTTGCACACAGCGTAGCTATGGGTTGGCATCAGCTGGACAGCACCCAGTGACATCTTTCTCTAAACAAGGCCTCAGAATCTTAACTCCAGTTCATCAAGCCAATCTGGTTCCCGATGCTAAGCACCTTTGTCATTTAGGGTCATAAACTTGGGCAATGGGAAAGAACAAGGAAAGGAGACTGAGAGTAAAGACTTGCAGACACCTGAAACTAACAGTGAGAGGAGATAGCTCTCTGCCTGACAGAGAGGAAGAGATAGGAAGTCTATAAAAAGCATAGAACTAAAAAAAAAAAAGAAGTATAGAACTGTAAAAGCACAGTAGCCTAGGGCCATTAATGTTGGGACAAACTATTCTGCCTGCTTCATGGAGCGGGGCTATAACATCACTCAGGGTAGCCATTGAAGTTCTCAATAATCTAGCTGGATTGCTGAATAAAAATATAACTGTCAGAAAACGGAAGTGACTCGTGACGGGCTCTGGACCAATTCCGATGACAGCCCACCGTCTGTACTTGTTTGACCAAGTGGCACCGCAAGAAGCAGGCGGGGATACCCAAGGGGGAGGAGAACAAGCTGATGTACGGGATGCTCGTCTCTGTCTGATCCTTTGTTAGCAAGATGTCGCCACTGGACATGAAGGATGGCATTCTCCCCTCCAAACTAGCCATTACAAACTCCATTACTATGAGATGCCCACTGGAATCAAAGTTGTCATGGACACAGACTTGGGTGTTGCACCCATCCGGGATGTGTTGCCCCACGTCTACAGTGCGCTGTATGTGGAGCTGGTGGTGAAGAATCCTCTGGGCCCTTTGGGCCAAACTCTGCAAAGTGAGCTCTTCGCTCTCCTCTAGACTCCCATGTCTGCTCTCTGCCCTTCTTCCCAGCTTGAGCTGGCTAAGGAAAGAACCCCCTTACCCTGTGAAAAATCCTCATCTGCCTGGGGACCTACTTTCCTGGCCACCTGAGGACCCCTACCTAGAACCCTCCAAGGGCAACAACCCACATCCCTCTTTGGTGTTCACCCTGCCACCAGAAAGATGCCTATCGGAGCTCCAACACCACCAAACCAGGCCCTTCTGGAGAATTTTTATCTTCTCCCTTTCTGACTCATTCAGAGCTGTAAAATAAACTTTTTATTACCCTCTGGAAAAACAAACAAAAAACCTCAACCAACTGTCACAAATGATGGAAGAAACAGGTAGTTGTTCTTGGTTTTAACTTTTTATTATGATTTGGGCGAAAGTTTACAGAGCAAATTAGTTCTCCATCTAACACTTCATACACATTGTTTTATGACACTGATTGAAATGCATTCAGTGTAACAGCATCCTTTCCATTCCCTGCCTGGGTTTTCTGCTTCTATTTGTTCTACTTCCCTAGCTCTTCTTAGCTTCCAAGCATTATCCATGGATCATTGCTGTCCTTTTGATCTCATATAGATGACTGAGAAATGAGCAGATTTTGAAAGAATAGGGACTGGTAGTCAGTGGTTCATATACAATGCTCCCAATTCTCACTCTTGAAATGTAGTGGATTATCTGTTGGTCTCTTGTCTCACTAGCTGAAAGACCCTGGGTAGTGCTAACAGTTAAGCCCTTGGCTGCTAACCAAAAGTTTTATTTCAGTCCACTAAGATCATAAGTTCTACTCTTAGATACATGGGATCACCACGAGCTATAATAAACCCCAAGACAACTGGTGGGTTAATTCTTCCTCTCTCAGGACAGTGAAAGTGAGATCTCATTTAGGAGAACTATACTTCCCATTCATTCTCAAGTCTGTAGTTTGGGTGAGAGTATACACCTCTCTCATTTGAACTAAACCCTCTTTGAACATCAAGCCCATGTCCTCTTTTTTTGTTAGAGCAAATTACTTTTCCATTCATCAGTTCACACACATTTTGTTTCGTGACACTGGTTATGGTTTCTTCAGTGTAACAGCACTTTTCCGACTTCTTTCCTAGATTTTCATTCATCCTTCTTCCGTGTCTCGTCCTGCCTACTGAGATTTTAGTTGGGGCAAATGAGTTATTGTTCACCTTGGCTATTGTTTAACTCAAAGCTTATCCCTGATGGAGAGTTCTGTTGCTAGCTTGGGAGGTTCCTAAGAACAACAGTCTTGGGGTTCCATTAGGCCAATTAAGTCTGGTCTTTTCCATTTTTTGAATTTTGTTCTACATTTTCTTCCTTGTTCTTTGTCCAGGACTTTCTATTGTGATCCTGATTTGAGTGGTCAGTAGTGGTAGCTGGGCACCAGCAAGTTCTTCTGGTCTTAGGGTAGTGAAGGTCATGGTTCACATGGCTCATTAGTTCTTTGAATAATTTTCAAGGCCTATTTTTAAACACAGCTTCCTTGGAAAGCCTTTGGTGCACACACTAAACTATCCCAATTAACCCTAGCTCCCCTTCCTTTTTTATAGCATCTTGTTCTTTATAACACTTTACATGATTGGTAATTATGTGTTTACAAGGGGTAATTATTTGCTTAATGTTGTTTTGCCCAACTTAGCTACAAGCTCCATGAGGACAGTTACTTGACTCTTGTTCACCAAACAGGACACTCAAGACACAGATGCTCAAATGACTGATGATTGAGTAAATAAACAGATTGAGACTATCAGGAAAAGAAAACGTCTTTTCAAGACAGAAAGTAGATGGGGCACAGTTCACTAGTACCATAAACACACCTACAGAGCCGTTGGATGGTATTATAGGTTGAACTAAAATAAACAAAACTCAATCTGATTGCCATGGAGTCATAATGACCTCACTGGACACAGAACTACCCTATAGGGTTTCCAAGGCTGTAAATCTACCTGGAATCAGATGCCTTATTTTTTTCCTGTAGAGTGGCTGGTGAGTTTGCCAAATCCTTTAACCACTGCAGTACCAGATTTTTTTTTGCATTGAGTTGTGTTCCCACAAATAAGAAGCTCTAGGTGATCTAGTGGTAGTGGTATGGAGTTGCATGCCAACCCAAAGGCACCCGGTTCAAATTCACCAGCTGCTCCACAGGTGAAAGATGACCAGTCCCTTCCCATGTGATTTACAGCCTTTGAAAACCCAACGGAGAGTCAGCTATGAATAGGTTCTGACTCAGCAGTACACAACACATTCCCACAAAACATGTATTGTAAATCCCAACTCACAGTGACTGCACCAATGGCCTCAAACATAGCAATGATTGTGAAGACGGCACAAGAATGGGCAGTTTAAGTTCTGTTGTACATACAGGGTTTATATGAGGTAGAACCAGCTTCATAGTGTCTAACAACAAACTTCATAGCATCCTCATGAGGTAAATACTACTATGGCTTCCATTTTATAGATAGGGTAACAGAGCCATGGAGAAGGTGCTTTTTTTTTTTAGAAGGTAATTTTTGAGGTCACACAACAAGCAAGTGGGAGAATCAGGTTGGGAGAATCAGGTTGAGAACCCAGTCAGTCAGGCTCGAGAACCAAAATAATGTTATTTATTTTCTCCTCCATGGCTTGTGTCCAAGATTGTGGCTATTTCAGCTGCCTAGAGAGTGTTTCAGATATAGCTAGTTAAGCAGGACTCCAAACGTTGCAGATCTTTAGACTCTCCTGAGGGTGCCTTTTAAAACCAAACCTGTAGAGTTTTGGTCTACCCTGGAATTTGCGTTTTCAACAAGTTTAGCCAAATCTGGCTAAGGTGGTCAATGCATTGGATTTTTTTTTTTTTTTTAACATTAGAAATACAAACTTTTTATTACTTTTTTTGAACCAGTCATCAAAGGTAACTGGTTAGTTTACATTATGTACACACCACAACCAACTCTAGTTCGGGCCGCTGGAAGCTACTCTACTTTTCTTGGTGTTGTAGCTTCACCTCTGAGCACGAGATCCCCCATTTGACAAAGGCTGGCATCTGCCTCCTAGAACAGTTGTGAGAAGGGGCCCTGGTAGCGTTGCTGGTTAAATCTTGTATGAAATACAGAACCAGCCTTAAGGAAGGGGTCCCAGGTGAAGCACAGACTGCCCACTTTGGACAATGTCACAAGAGTCTAAGTATCTCTCAAACACTGTATGTGGCATACTTCTCCACTGATTTGAAATGTCACTTTAACCAAGTAACTCGTATATTTATTAACCTGGTAAACCTATCTTTAGGAAAGGACAGGCCTCAAAGCTGAGCCCAAAGGCATTGCTTGCACCTATGATGACCCCAGGCAAGGTGCCTGCACACGCCAGGTGCCCCAGTCCATTCCAAAGGAATCGCTCAAGCTTCCGCTGCGCCCAGGCAGCACTAGCGGCGCCCGGAACAGTCGAACCCCGCCCCCCCAACCCCGCTCCCGCCCCGCCCCTTCAAGGGCAACGCCCCGAACGGGGCCGACCCGGTAGACCCTGGAGGGTACACCGTTCACTCCTACGCAGTGAGCACAGGCGAAGCGAGAGGCTCCCTCACCATGTCAGCTGTGGAGGCAGAGGGGATTTTTCGCAGAGCCCGGGGCAGGACCCTGGACGCATTTTCCGAAGGTACTTCCGGCACTTCGCCCAAGGAGGGGTCAACTTCTGGCTTGCGGAATCTTCCGCTGGGGGGAACCTTTCTTCCGGGTGCACGCGCCTCTGACCGGAATCCTTAGTGATGCTCCATGCAGAGGCTACCGGGGACTGTATTAGTGGTTGCACCACTCGTGCCTGGGGCTTCCCGGAATGAAGTGGTGGGACGAATGTCACCTCTCCAGGGGCTTGTTCCTGGCGCCACTTGGCCTTGAACTAACCTCCCTAAGAGTAAGGCAGGAAAACATAGTTAACAATAGCCTGTGCTCTTTTATTAGCCATGATATTCAGTCCTCATCACTCTGCAGATGTCATGGGATTGTTTCCACATCCATGAAATGGAAATAATGATAGTGTTATGAGTGACCCTGAATAAGTGTTCCATATATATTAGATATTTATTGTAAGTTATTCACCTTGATGTGTTTTACCCCCTCTATAATTAACGGTTATGTACTATGCGGTAGTCACCACACCATAAAAGGTACTCATTAGAGCGGAAACAGGCTAGTGCATTAGTAAAGTGGTCAGATTGTGGGTTTAAATGGCTTAGTAGTGAAGCTAGAGCTCTAGTGGGCTTAGTGGCAAGGAGTTGCGCTGCAGTCCCGAAGGCACTCGGCTCAGGAGCGGGAGAATGATGAGTAATCTCCTGCAGGACTGACTGCTTCGGACCCCCCCCCCCCCCAGGGTCAGCTTTGGGTGGGTTCCTACTTGATGTTACACAACAGCAATAGTGGTGAAGATAGAGGAAGTGCAACCAAAGTGCTAGTTAGAGCCAAGGATGGTGAAACTTCATCTCATATACTTGGGGCATGTTGTCAGAACGGACCTGGCTTTGGAAAAAGATCATGTTTGGAAAGGTGGACTGAGAAAGAGAGGAAGAGCCTCAACCACATGGACACAGTGACTATAACAATGGGCTTGAGTATGGTGGAGATAGGATAGGACAAGGTTTCCTCTTTTGTTCATGGGGTCACTATGAGTTGTAGTCTATTCGATGGTAACAGCAGCAATAGAAGTGGATTTTATTATGACTCATTTCGCAGAGACTGCACATGTGATGTACTTTTGTAACCCAGTGTCAGACAAATCCTTAAGGTTAAGTGAATATTTGTAAATCCAGAGAGAGCTTTCCTCCTGGTTCCATCATTCCCTTTTGTGGCTTTTGGTGATCAAGACCTGGAGTTCAAGTCCTCCCAGACACACACTGTCTTTGTAATTTGTGGAGGAAGGTTTTCAGTGCCTGTGATCTTTTGGAAGTATATTGCCAGGCCTTTCTTCCACAGCACCTCTGAGTGGGTTTGAAATGCCAACCGTTTGGTTTGCAGATGAGTATTGAACAGTGTGTGCCAATCAGGGACTCATTAAATCCTAGGGAAGTCTCCTTACATAGTCTCGATAATGTGGCAGATGCTCCCACTCTCACTTCATGCCTGTTGCTCTTTTGCTTCCCAGTTTTCCCTTCAGTTTTGCGCTCCACGTCAAAGGACCAAAAGTTTTCTCTCCTCAGGACTTGGCGTCTGTTTCCTCTCTCCGCAATTTATAGTAGGAATGATGAGCTGGATTCTGCCTGAAATTCCATGCCTCATTGTAAAGGTCAACCATTATCTTAGAGAGACTTTGCCTAGCCACTTTATCTAAACTAAGCTGCTTCTGTACTTCTCTGTCCCACATTCCGCCCCTCCCCTCCCACCCTCCCCCTGTAATTCAGGAGGAGTGGGCAAAGTTCTGGAAGAGTATGTGGAACTGGGCATAGAATTCTGGTTGATTTTGGAAAATATCTTCTTCTGTAGGGTATTCTGTACACATTTCAGTGTATTTCCCTTTTTCATTCAACATGAAGTTTTCAGGATTTATGCATGTTGGTAGTTGTTCTGGTTCACTAATATACTTCTTGTATAGTAGTCTATTATGTAAGTATATGCTTTATACCTTAAACTGATGGACATTGTCTTTGTTCCTTACTCTCTAGAGTTGTTATAGAAGTAGCATAAGTTGTTATGTACTGTAGTCAGAATCAACTCATACCTGACCTGCCAGTGGGTTTTCACAAGGTGTAAATCACACCAGAGGAGATTGCCCGTCTCTTTGGAGGAACAGCTTTGTGGATTTGAACCATATACTTTTGGATTATTGGCACAATTCCTTACCTCTAAGCCACCAGAGCTCCAGTAGCACATAAGGATGGCTTTAAAGAACAGAAATTGGTTTTCTTACAGGTCTGGATGTCTCTGTCAGATCTTTCTTTGTAATAGTCCTGGACATTCCTTGGCTCGTACATGTTCCTCACATGTTATCTGTTTCCCCCATTCAGTGTATATTTACTATTATAACCGAGAAATTATTATATTTAGAACTCACTCAACTAGGGCATGAGATAATGAGCATAGCAAAGAAATCCTTGTTTATGAACAAGATTATACCTACATATAATGAGGGCTAGGTTTCCAACACTTTTTTTTTTTAATAGTGGTGGGAAGTTTGTTGTTGTTATGCGCCATCAGATCACCTGCGACTCATAGCAACCCTACATATAGCAGCTCTGAAGCCTGCCGTATCCGGAACCAGTCTCACTGACTGATACACCTACACTCATTACCCTTGTTACTGACCCCCCCTTACCCTAGTTACTGTGTCAGTCTCTCTCATCTGGGGTCTTCCTCTCCTGTTCTGTCCCTCTGTCCTTCCACGTATAATACATCCTCCAAGGACCAGGCCCTCCTGGCCACGTGAGCAAAGTATGTGAGATGGTTGTGCTCCATTTCTTTCTTAATGATGTCCAATTTTCCTACATTCATGCTTCTCACATTCCAGTCTTTAGTGTCTGCTTACAAGTGTTCCTCTGCCTTTGTGCTTCCAAATTTGAGAGCTCAGCCTCAGGTGCTATATTAGCTAGTCTGCTCTAAGGGTGTTATATTATACATAGGATTTTTGAAGGCCTGCTGTTTCGAAACTGGATGGCCAATTCTTCTTCCTAGTCTGTCCTAATTTCGATGCTAAGCTTTAGAGCAGTATCTGAAAGACTAAAAGGGCATGCAGGATAGTTCCCAAATCTTGTCTTTGCCTCTCCAAATCTATTCTCTACTCTTTCAGGACACTGAGCTCTGTGGGCTCTTGTTAGCCCAATATCCTTTGGCTTCCATTGGGCTTGGCCATTGAGGTTCCCCTACAGGAAATCAGAGGGGAGAGTATTTTCCCCTAGGTCACTTCCTGTGGACTTGGCTGGTTGTTGTTGTTGATTGCCTTCGAGTTGAGCATGACTTAGAGCGACCCTATGAACAAAAGGTCTGAAGCCCCTCTACAACTGTTGACATTTAACAAAGTTCATGGAGTTTCCAGAAGCATGTTATTTAGGAAGTGGATGCCACTCCTGCTTCCAGTTCCGCGTCTGAAGGTCACTGCTTCTCAAGGTAGCTTTCCTCCCGGGCTCTTCCTTTTCTCCTTTCCTAAGTAGAAGTGTCAAGAGCTCTGCTTTTCATTCTTGACTACTAGACAGTTCTGTAGTTTTCTTGCACACTATTCCAGTTCCCTACACACTGCTGACTCTTCTGACTCATGTCCATCCTTATAGGGCACAGTGCAACTTCCCCATAAAATTTCTAAGGCTGTAACTCATTACGGAAGCAGACTGCCTCAGCTTTCTGCTGAGGAGCAGCTGGTGAATTTGAACTACCAACCACTTAGTTAGTTGTTGTTAGGTGTCAATCAGCTATGACTCCTAGCGACCCTAAGAACAACAGACAAGAATCTTGCTCTCTCCTGTGCCATCCTTATCAACTGTGACACTTGAGCCCATTACTTGCAGTCACCATGTCAGTCCGTCTCTTTGAGGGTCTTCTTCTCTCTGACCCTCCACTTTTCCAAGCATGATGTCCCTTTTCAAGGAATGGCCTCTCCTAGAAACATGTCCAGAATATGAGAGATGAAACTTCTTCTTTTCCTGCAAGGAGCACTCTGGCACCACTTTCTCCCAAACATTCTTTCATTGTTCAAGGGATAGTCAGTACTCTTCTCCAGCACCACAACTCAAAGACATCAATTCTGTAATCCTTATTCATTGTCCAGCAAGTGATGGAAATGCCCATGTAGCCCAACGCTTAATCCATTACACCATCAGGTGTAGTCTCATTTGAAAACCATCTTTCACGATTGTAATTTGAGTGTGTCACCTGTGTCTTGCTGGGAGTCTGGCTGGTAGAATGGCTGTTTAGTTATTTCTGGTTCTTTATAGCAATGCTGCTGTGAACATTCTTGCATTAGTCTTATGTACATGTGGGAGGGTTTCTCCAGGGCAAATACCCGGGGGGATGTTGTCGTTTATAAGGTATAGTCATCCTCAGCTTTACTAGGTCCTGTACACGTGCCTTCCAAAGGCAACTCCCACTAGCAGTGTCTGAGAGGTCCTTGTTATTCTTCTTGTATCGCTGTAGTTTAGGAAATATTTATTATGTTCCTGTTGCATGCACCAGAGGCAGTGGTGACTCCGTGGTAGAATTCTCACCTTCCAGGATTCCCAGTCAGTGTTCTTCATGCACAGCCACCACTCATCAGTAGTTTGTGAGCCACTGTGATGCTAAGCAGGTTTCAGCAGAGGTCCGAACTAAGACAGCCTAGGAAGAAAGGTCTGGCGATCTACTTCCCCTAAATTAGCCATTGAAAATGCTGTAGAGCATAGTTCTACCTCTGCTACATTGCCAGGAGTCAGAATTGACCCAGTTTTGAACCTTCCTAACCAACTAATCCACTTCTGAAATAGCTTGCCTCTGGAAACCCTGTGAATCTGGAGACAGGATGAAAGTAACACAAGTGTCCAGATCTTTCATTCATAGGGTCGCTATGAGTTGTCTGTAACTTGACAGCACTTAACAACAACAGCAACAACCAATTGAAGTTGCATCTAGGCTGCCAGTGGAGAATGATTTAGAAGGATCCATAGAATAAGAGAAGAGTTCAGCTGGGTAAGAATTGTGGTCAGAGAGAAAGATTTAGAAGATGAATTGACAGGGCACTTAGCCTGCTAAGATAGGAACCCACATAAATGACCCCAGACTCTTGCCTCTGACTCCACCTATAAGTAGAATCTGTACTCCTTTGTGGAACAAGTAGTCCCAGGAGAGATGCTTAGTGTCATGGGGGGCTAATTCAACCTTTGGATTATTGGGCTCAGAGCCTGAGTTTTCATTGATGTATCTTGAAAACCTTTGTTTTCTTAGACATTCCCCTGAATGTTAGCATTGCTGACTACTTTGAAAGATGCTCCCAGAACAACTGGATTCTACTTCAGGATCTGGGGGAAGAGAGAATGAAGGAGCTGGCTTTTTACCTTCTCTTGGCAAAATACACATTGCCTGTCAAAGGGTTTGATGTATTCAAGCAATAGTGTCTAAAATGGTAACTCTGACAACCCTCATGTTCACTGGCGAAAAAAACCCCCCAAAAAATCTCCAAAAAACCATTTGCTGTTGAGTCAGCTCTGACTCACGGCCATCATGTGCGTCAAAACAGAGATCTCTCATGGGATTTTCAGGGACTATTTTTTTAGAAGTGGATCACCAGGCCTTTCTTTCTAGGCACCTCAGTGGACTGGAACCACCAACCTTTTCATTAACAGCCAGATGCATTAATCAATTACACAACACCTGACTTCCTGCCCCCCCTCCAGACTCCTTGTTACCTCGAAGCCCATTCACCCACTGACTCCTGACTACATTTAAGCCCATCCAGAATTATCTATCTTAACAGTTTTTCCCCAAATGAATGAAGCCAGGGAATTAATGGAGAGAGCATTTTACTGTAAGGCCATTTCCGCCCTGGTGATTTATGAGTAATAACGGCACCCATCCACTTTTCCCAGTAGTGCTGAATGTGAAGTTCGTTTTCAGTGATCCGTTCCCCGCAAACATAATCTCCCAGGCGCTGTTGAAGGATGTTATAAAAAAGCCACTTGTACAAGTCTCACCTGAGAAGACACACACTTCTAAACCATGTTCCAATATTCATTTTAATTAGACAAATTGACAATTATATTTCCTTAACTCACATCCCAATTAGGACTACAGATAATCAATCATCTTTCGGAAAAGTTTACATCTGTTTTGTAGATGTTCTGAAAGGGAGATAAAGAAAATAAGTGTTTTTAAATTGGCTATATTTAATTATCCTCAGTGTTTTAGTTTGCATTTCCAGTTTCTTTTACCACCTGATAATTTCCTCTATTAAATATCAGGGTCTTGAGTGGTTGTCTTAAGAGATTTATTTCCCTAGTCATGTTAAAAACCTTTACAGCTGTTTTAGAGAATTTGCTCACCCTGAATGTTTCTTGTTCCTCTCTGGAAACCCTCTTACTGGGGCCCAGGAGTAAACGGAATTGTGGAATCTCAGGAAAAAGAATTTGCTCCATCTCTTTAAGATCTTAGGTAAGAACTTTTCCAGAAACTGCAAACCTTCAAAGGTTTTATCGAGTGTGAATGGGATTGAAAATATTGGGGCTTAAATCCCGGCAAACACATTTTCTCCATGGCAGTAAAGAAGAGAAAAAAAAATGTCATACATGTAGCTCAAACCACTTATTTTATTGAGATTTTAATGAAAATTTATAAAGAACTTGGGTTTCCATTCCTTCATTGTTGCACATTTTCCTTTTTGCTCCCCCCAGTTTACTTTTTTCTTTGGAAAAAGGTTATTTCATTGTTATACAGTACCCTACCCCCAGACCACTTTACAATGCAACTCTTAT